GAATGAGAGAAAGAGAGAGAATGAGAGAGAGAGAATGGGAGAGAATGAGAGAGAGAGAGAGAATGGGAGAGAGAGAAAGAATGAGAGAGAGAGAATGAGAGAGAGAGGAAATGAGAGAATGAGAGAGAATGGGAGAGAGCATGGAGGAGAGAGGGGGAGAGAAAGAGAGAAAAAGAATGAGAGAGAGAGATGGGAAGGTTTTCGGGGAAACCCTGGAGTTTGCAGAAGATTGTACAGCCAGAATAAAAATAAAAGTCCTTGGGAAAAACAGGACAAGCCAAGAAGGAAGGGAAAGATTAAAATGGTGGTGCAACAGCCCACCCTTGGCATGGGGGAGCCGAGGAGAGGGGAGACTGAGAAACTTTAAGGAGAAGGGTGCAATGGGCTGGGGGCTGGCAGGCACCATGCATGGGAATAGTCTACCTTGCACCATTCTGCAGCAGCACACAAATCAGTTTACGGAATGGAAACAAGGCTGGGAGATTAAGTCTGTCCTGCCTTCCTGGATTTAAGAAATAAAAAGCTGAAGAGGAGGAGGAGTTGTGCTGTAAGTAAGAGACACCAGAGATTCTCAACAGCCCAGGTTGAAAAGGCTCAGAAATGTATTTAATTTGGCTGCCTCCTTCATCACCAGTAAAATTGGGCGGCAATGTCTTGCAGACAGACTCTCGCCAAGGAGGAAAAGATTGATGTCCAGTCTAATGTATCGAACGCTTCCCTTTTAAAAAGGCAGCTCTCGTTTCTATTAAATTTTCCACCCTTAGCGCCCTAGGTAAAACTGGCAAGTGGAATGCTTTAGTTTCTGTATTTTTATTTCATTGTTTATTTGTTTGTTTATTTGTCAGATTTATGTAGCCACTCCTCTCACAATCCAGTGACTTTGCCCTGCGCACAACAAGGCTAAAAAAAGAATGAGTGAAGTTTTTCTCCAGAGTTGGCTCTTAATCTCGAAGCGCTTTTGAAACCCTTCTTCTGGGTTTTTATTTGGGGAGAAATTTTGGAGCGGGTTTATTATGCCAGGAAGCAGAAGAGGGGGTTGTTGTTGTTGTTTTGCTAAAATAGGTTGGTGTTTTTTTTGAGTCACCTCTTTGGTTCAATAGACAGGCTGGCTGCCCAGCGGTGTTTCCAAGCTGTAAAAATCTCCTGGAAAAAAGTTTTTTTTTGTGAATTAAGTAACACTGAAAGCCAGGGAATCTATCAAGCGATAAGACAAAACAAAAGGATATTCGCGCCAGCTCTTTGCCCTGATGTGGTGGGTCGTTTGTGTTTGAATCTTGCAAGCTGTCCATAGTCCCTTGTGGATAGGTCAAGAAATAAGAATTATGTCGCTAAGATGTACCCGAACAAGCAGAACTCACCTGTGCAACTTCTCCCAAGAACAAGACAAAAAGTAACAAAATGGATGCTTATCAAAGAGAGATCCAACCTAGAATTAAGGAGAAATTTCCTGACAGTTAGAACAATTAAATCAGTGGAACAACTTGCCTCCAGAAGTTGTGGGTGCTCCATCACTGGAGGTTTTCAAGAAGAAACTGCACAATCCAGAAATGGTATATAGAGTCTCTGACTTGAGCAGTTGGACTAGAAAACTCCAAGGGTCCCTTCCAACCCTGTTCTTCTGTGAAGGAGGAAAATACGACCAATTCTTTTTCCTTCACTTTAGTTTTTCCTTTTAAAAAAAGGCAGAAACCTCTTATTGAGATGTAACTGGTTTGAGCTGGTAGTTTCTGTTTTCCCCACAACAACCCTGTGAGGTGGGCTGAGAGGGAAGGACTGACCCAAAGTCACCCACCTGGTTTTCATGACTAAGACGGGACTAGAACTCACCGTCTCCTGGTGATTGGCCCAGAGCCAGCCAGCTGGCTTTCATGGCCACGGTAGGACTTGAACTCATGACCTCCCACTTTGTAGCCCAGCACTTCAACCACTTGTTCCAGCAGACAGACAAAGCCACTCTTCCCACATCTAGCAAGGCAAGCCATCTTCTAAAGATGGTTATTGCATTCCAGGCTCTCTTCCTGCTTCTGTTTTCCTGGGCAGAGATGAGATTTTGGATTAGATTACAACAAAACAACAAAACAAGAGAGGATAGTTTCTGGGGAATAAAGCAATTGTACACAACACTCCAGGCTGCCATAACATCTTCCATCCAAATGTCCAATCCACTCTCTTTTTCCAAACGGACTGAAATTGTTTTTCTTGGGGCCCTTTGGCTGAGCTCACGGTGGCTGATGGGCGCTGGAGTCCAGCAGTAGCTGGAGAGTCACGGCCTCCCCTAAACTGGAACAGAAGAGGTGTATAAAGATGGAATAATTTATGCCCCTGTTACAAAACTGTTTGGCATCTAAGAGGAGCCAAAAACTTTTATTGCCTGCAATTGGGCAAGGCTGCTAAAAGGTTGCATTGTTGAAACGCGGGCTAATTAAAAGAGGGAATAAAATGGAATGGGCGAAAGTAACTGGGAAAAACATCCATTATGAAATGAGAAGAGAGAAAATGATGCCGGTCATTTGGGTTTAGTTTGTCTAACTGTAACCAATGGGTAGAAAGACAGGATATAAATCTAGTAAATAAACCCCATTTTGTGTTTATGGAACACTTTCTGATTGCTGTACTCAAAGAGGTTTGCAATATGTTTACACCATCTAGAATTACTATGCATCTCTCCCAGCCCCCCCTGTGTGTGTGTATGTTATGGAAGACAACATTAAAAAGAACCATAACTATAGCAGAAAGACAACTGTGAAAAAATAAAATTCTTTTTGGGGGGGTGTTTTACAAACATCCGAAAAAGCAGGTTCCAAATCAACAGTGAAGACACACACACACACACACACACACACACACACACACGTGTGTGTGTGTGTGTGTGTGTGTGTGTGTGGCATCAAAGCTGCATTTGCTTTGCTTTTATGGATATTGTGTGTGCTGCTCTTTTGAAGATTTTGTTTTTTGTTTGGAAAAAAATACTGTGCTAAGTTTCCAAATAAAAATAAAATACAAAAATTCAGAAATTAAAAAAATCAAGAACATTTAAAAGTAGAGGTGAATGAAAAATAGATAGATAGATAGATCAGACTTCCTAAGTACAAATACAAATAGTTAATCAGGTAATGTCTTACTCTAAATTAAACATTACACAAAACATGAAATGTGGGCTTAGTTTTATGGTTATTCACATGCTTTTATGTTGCTCAGGGATATCGGCGAGATATGCTCTAGAATAAAAATAATCAAATTAAACGTTACATGACTTGGCTATTCTTGAGCATATCTTACCAATACCTCTGAGCAACATAAAAAGCATATGAATAACCATAAAATGAAGGCTTTTTTTCCCAAAAAGCATTTTTTTTTACAATTATCTCTAGTGTCAGCAGTTAAAACTGAAGTGCAAATAAGTCCCCAGTGCAAATACAGTATAAATAAAAGCTGCTTGAAATAAAATTGGTCTTCAGTGAATAAGGGCCATTTGTACCTGTCAAAGAGAAAATTTTAAGGAAAAATATCCCTCTCTCACTTCTCCAGTAAACAAACTGGATGTTCAGGCAAGTTTATGCAGATAATTTACCCTGCAATTACTCTAGAGCTGAGCTGTCATTCGATGGATAACAGGAACTTCATAAAGATTCTTGGCAACAAAAAAGACATGTCAATATTTATGATGAACAGGCATCATTCAAAAAGCCTGCGGTTTTAGATAATTTGTATTTTCAAACAGTTATCATCAGCCAGTGCCAATTTTAGTGCAACGTATCTTTATTCCAGACCAGAGGAAAATGCAGTAATAATAATAATGATTTAAGGGTTTAGGAAATGCAAATACCTTTGGTCTGGAATTACAAATAATTTGCTGCTCATTTATTAATCCTGCCTTTTTCTCACGACACCTATTTATTTATGCTATTGATTTTACAAACAGCCTGGCCTGGATAAAACAGAATGATAACCATATGTTATTTTTAAAATATCATTTGAAACATGAGCCTTTCATAGAAGCAGATTATAAATTGATAACATTGTTGTAAATAAAGAATATAAACCTACCCTAAAACCGCAAAAGACAGAAAGGCCGTTTGATGAATATTCTCTAAATATTCAGATTTAAAGTTCCCCGGAGCTACTGAACTGTTAGAATTGACTTTGTACCAACCATTCTCTTGAGCCATGACCTGCCTTTATAGGTTAGCGATGAGAATATGGGATGATTTAAAAAGAAAAACATAACTCTTAATAGGACAAGTTATAGTGAAAGACTGAAAAAGTATCACTAGGATGAATATTCACCTATTAATAGTAGAGAGGGCAATGCAGCAGACTTAAAACAAGAATGAAAGATTCACAAACCCAGGCTACAGCTTTGGATAGAGAAATATTCATTTCATAAGTGAATGTTATGACCCTATTTTGCAGGAAAGGTACCCTGTTTGTAATTGCAGCTGGCGGCTTATTCTCACATTCCAAGTTGGCTGCTAATGGAAGAATATTCTTTCAAATGTGGGATCCCTCCCTGCATCCTAATTGCAACCTCCCCCCACCCCGGCCATCCTCAAGAGAGGAGGAAGGAAGCTTATTTCCCTCTCTTGATTGCCAGAAGAAACTTCAGCTCTCTGTTTACAAACACAAAACCTTCGTATTTCCCTGCAAATTTTTGCTTCTGTTCAGATGTAGGAAAGGGAGTCGGTAGGGATATGATTCTAGCATAGTGCTTCCTAAAGTCGATCCTTCATTAGCCAAAAATACTTGTAGAACATAGGATAATAATATCAAATGGGATCTCGGAGGTCTTCTAGTCCCACCCGCTGCTCAAGCAGGAGAATCCATATACCATTCTGGACAGTTTCTTCCTTCTTCTTCTTCTTCTTCTTCTTCTTCTTCTTCTTCTTCTTCTT